CAGCAGGAACATGCCAGACACACGCTTCTGCCTCAGGGCCTTTGCACTTGCTATGACCCCCATCTGGAACATGCTTCTGCACATCATCCCCTCTGTCCCCTCCTTCAAGTCTTGGCTTAACTGTCCCCTTCCCTGTGAGGCTGTCCCCACAACCACCCTATGGAATATCACAAGCCCCTCCGCTGCTCCCGGCTCTTCCCTCGACCCCCATCAGCTTTATTTTCCTCTGTTTCACTGATCGCCTACAAGGATCTTCTTCTCTAGTTTATGCTCTGTCTGCCCCTAGAAGAGGGGTTGGTGCCCATTGGTTCTCTGCTCTGAACTCAGTGCTCAGCCAGCCAGTGCCTGGCACCGAATGGGCGCTCAACAATGGTTTTGTTGCGTGAATGACAAAAGAGTACTTTTCTATCTGCAACTCTGTTTCTTCCTCTCTTGTTACCATCCAGGTTCAGGGTCTGTCTTGCCCACTCTCAGACCGAAGACTCCACAGAAGCCAGACTGGGGGTTCTTGGCCCTACTATGTCCTGGACCCAGCGAGCTAAGCCCTGAACTGATGTCTCTGGCATTGTATCACTTAATCCTAATGGCAACCTGATGGACAAAGTCGTCCACTTAACAATTAAATTATTCCCATTTAACAGATGAGGAAACTGAGGCTCAGAGAAGTCATCTTGCAAGTAGGTGGCAGAGCTGAGATTGGAACTCAGGACTGTCCACTTGAGTCTGCCTGCTACCCTGCCCTGCCCAGGTCCCCAGACGCCCCTGCTTCATCCTTGCCAGATGCTCCGGGAAAAGCTTCCATCTTGGCTTTCACGGATGGACTAAGCCCTTCTGCTCAGGGCCTGACTTCAAATCCTTGCTGTGCAATCTCATGCAGGTGATCTCCCCTCTCTGAGGCTCCGTTTCCTTGTCTGGTAAAAGGCATTCTGATGCCTGCCTCTGGGGTGATCAAGAAGTGGTGGGCAGCACTTGCTCAGCAGGACCCGAAGTGAAGGCAAGACCCTCTTCTGTCCCCACCATAGTCCCCGATGCCTTGCCCAGCAATCAGGTCTCACAGCCTGCTGGGAACAGGTTCGCCCACCCTGGCTGGAGTGGGGAAGGTCTTGAGAAGAGAGGAGGTGCCCACAGAGGCGTGGCATGATCCCCAGCACTGTCCTGCTTCTTCCAACCTCATCAAGAGCTCCAGGACACCACCTCTGCACACGGGCCCATGCAGAGCCCACCCCCAAGGGCCTCGGCCACCACTGCAGTAATAGAAATACCTAGTACTTATGGAGTGTTGGTCGATGCAGGGCTGTGCATGTATAACTCAGTTAATTCTCATAGCCCTGCAGGAGTAAAGCAACTTGCACATCAGTGGAAGTTACAGAGCTGGGATTTGAACCCGGGAAGCTCGGATTTCAGAGTCCAGCCCAGAAGCACCATACTAGGCAGCCTAAGGATCCAGGTGCTCACGAGACTTTGAGGTGAAATGTAGGGCTCCTGAAGAGGTGGCAATGGGCACAGACTCAGTCTGACAAGGCTCCAGGGAAACAAGGGGGCTGTCAGGAGGTCAAGGTTCACCCTTTAGGCTCTGCTCACCTGGTGCGGCCCAGGTCCATCTTGCATGGGTCCAGCTCCATGTACTTCTTCTCCTCGAAGACGCGGTTAATCACCGGCTTCAGGACCTCGTGCAGGTAGGGCATGCCCACGAGCTGGGGGCAGGGGCACCACACGGGGCGGAGCCGAGGGTGAGGCGGGGCGGGGTGGGGGTGCTACTGGGTTGCCACTCAGGGTGAGGCCTGGCACCCACCGCCAGCACCCAGCTCAACCACCCAGTGCCACCTGAAGCCAGCCAAGCTCTGGAGTGTGAGTAAGTCCTGGGAGGGGAACCCCTCAAAGAAGCTGTCCCCAGGCCCCTCTAGGCCTTGGCCCGCTCACCTTCATGAACTGTTCCATGGACTTGGATGCCAGGGAGTTAGAACGGAAGAGGGTGTTGGGGTCGGCTGAGGGCAGAGGGAAGTGCCTGCTGGGATTTGGGGGGCTGGATATGCCTCACTCCACCCACCCAAGGTAGGGGTCAGGATTCTTTCAGCCTCGGGAGTCGAGAAGACCAGCAACAAAGACTCCATTCACAGTACAGAGGCCCAGGGTGGTTAAGTGATCTTCCTAATGTCACACAGCACGAGAATAACAAAACCCAGCAGGCTGGAGTGCACAGCACTCCACACACACACGCACGCACGTGCACACGCACGCACACACACACACGCATGCACACGAGCCCCCTCTGTCTGAGCCCCTCCCTCCCACTTCTGCCCTCGACACCTTCTGCAGATTCATCCTTAGGGTGATGTCTGGGGGTCACTGGGCAACTCACTGGTCCGCGCCACCTCACGCCGGGTAAGGTAATCCAGAAAGCGCCCCGCCAGGCCCTGGCCGAGGAAGAGCTTCACCAGCTTGGTGGCGAGGTCCTGGCGGCAGTCGCCCAAGGTCAGCTCCTCCAGCACAGCCAGGGGGCTAGCAGCATCCTCCTGGGTAGGGACAGGAGGCAGGACAGGTGGCCTGGGGTCCTGGGACTCCAAAGCAGAGGAGCCCGGGTAGGCGCCCCAAAGCTGGGGGAGGCCAAGACCCCATTCCACCCCCTCCCAGTAGAATTGGTCGTATGACACGCCCACCTCTGCCGGGCCCAGCACAGACTCCGCGAGCAGCTTCATGAGGGGCTGGTAGTATTTGGAGGGCAGGACGCGGTCCTCGACGAGGCGCACCTTCAGCCGCAGAGCACCCAGGTTCCCCCTGAGCGGGTCAGATCGCAGGTGTGTATGGGGGTATGTGTAGGCAGGTGTGTATGGGAGTATGCGTGGGCAAGTGTGTATTAGAATATGTATGGGCAGGTGTGGAGAGCCAGGATGGGCAGGTGTGAACACGGGTAAGGAGCACGGATATTTGCAAAACAAGACGGGTGTGAACAGCGCCAGGCAGATGTGAACTGGCATGGCCAGTCTAAACAGGTGTGAACGGATATTGACAGGTGTAAATGGAAATGGACAAGCACAAGCGGTGTAAACAGTGTGCCCCATAGAAGCAAGTGTACAAGCATGGACAGTGTGAAAAGGTGTGGACAGGTGTGGAAGGACCCAAGGTCCTGAACGCACGTCAACAGGTGTGAACGGACATGTTCTCAGGGAGATGGGTAGAAGGTGAACTCATTTAGATGCATGTACGCACACATCGTAAGACATTCAACAAACGTTCGTTAAATGAATGAGAGAAGCCACATGGGGACAGCTGGAGAGCTGACATGGGCTGAGGTGGTTCCAGCCTGGCCTCCTCCCTCCACACCCACATTTACCCAGAATCCTCCTCGGCTCTAGGAAAGGGCAGGAGGCGGAACCAGCCGTTGGGTGGGTTCTGCTGCAGGACCTTTGCAGGGAACTCCACCTGTGGGTGACACACAGACCCTCAGCTGAGCCCTGCCCACCTCACCCAGCCCTACGGGAAGAGCTCACTGCCCACCCAAGGAGGGGCAGCATAGCCTGCTAGAGGCCACCTCCTCCTCCCCTACAGTATCCCTTTGACACAGCAACAGTGACACTCCCTCCTTCAGTCCCAGATTATTAGTCCTGCAGACACTCCCTCCTTCAGTCCCAGATTATTAGTCCTGCCAGGGTACCAAGAGCCTCCAGGGACACTTAGTTGAGGAAACTGGGGCTCAGTGAGGTGGAGTGACCAGCCCGAGGCCACAGCAGCTGCTAGGGACAGCAGGCCTGGCTTGAGTGTATTTTCAGCTCTGTTTAGGGACAGACACAATTGCATTTATTGAAAGGCTTAAAGACAGTCCAGAGGGTCCCCGAACCCCACACCCCTCTTTCGAAATAACTTTATAAGATATAATTCGCATCCCATGCAAGTCCCTATTTAAAGTGTATCATTCAATGGTTTTTAGTACATTCGTACTTGTGCGAACATCACCACTAATTTCAGAATATTTCCTGTCCTCCCCCGCAAAAGCCTGTACCCATACCCATTCACAGGTGCTCCCCGTCCCCCAGCCCCTGGTGACGACTAACCCACTTTCTGTCTTTATAGATTGATTCACCTACTCTAGACATCTCATATAAATGAAATCACATAATACTCTAGACGTCTCATATAAATGAAATCACATAGTATGCATGGGGTGTTTTTTCTTTTTTTGGACTGGCTTTTTTTACTTAGCATAATGGTTTCAAGATTCATCCATGTTGTCGCGTGTATCAGTACTTTGTTCTTTTTTATGACTGCATAATATTCCACTGCATGGATGGACCACCTTTGTTTATTCATTCATCTCTTGATAGACATTTGGGTTGTTTCCACTTTGGGCTATTACAAACAACACTGCTACGAACATTCACGTACAAGTCTTCTGTGGACATGTGTTTTCATTTTTCTTGGGTATAGACTTAGGAGGGGAATTGCTGGGTCATGAAGTAACTCTATCTCTAACCGGTTGAGAAAATGTCAGACCGTGTGGCACCTTACATTCCCACCAGCAGTGCATAACCGAGCCTCCCTCTTGTTGGCTCTAATTTGCCTCCTTTTAAAAAATAGCCCTGATACACACCCACTACTATGGAAGCAGGAACAATCACACCCATTTTGCAGATGGGAAAACTGAGGTTCTAAGAGAAAAACCTCAAGCCCTGTGCTTCCAAGAATAGAAGCTAAGGGCTTGGATTCTGGAGTCAGAGAGACCTGCACTCAAATCCTGGCTCTGCCACTTCTTAGTCATGTGACCTTAGGCAAGCAACTTAGCCTCTCTGAATCTCAGTTTCCATCTGTAAAATGGGGAAAACAATAGTCCCAGCCTCACAGGGTGGCCATAAGGGTAAATAAGGTTATGCTGGAGAAGTACATACCACGGGGCTAGCACACGGCCGTCCTGGGTACTCTCATCCCAGAATAAGAACCTGGGCTGACCCGGTGACCTTGGGCAGGTTCCTGCACCTTTGAGACCCTCAGTCCCCTCAAATGTACAAGGGGGTAATAGGACTCCATCGCCCAGGCCTGGCCAGGGGACCTGGTGAGGTAGCCTTCACACCTACCCTGTGTACCCCCAGGATACCCAGCCCATCACCCCTTCCTTCCCCCTTGGAGGTAGCGGGGAGCCATGGAGGGTGTCAGAGGGGGTGCTCACCATGCCCAAGAAGTCATTCTTGCCCACCATATCCCAGTCCCAGAGCTCCACCCGCAGCGGGGATGGGGCACCCGGCATCTCCCGCAGCTCCAGCACCTCATCCCAGTGTGGGAAGCGAGTCTTCTTAATGGTCTAGCAGAAGAGAAAATGAGAGACAGAGAGCTGACGGGGACCCACCCTCCCGGGACTCCCCACTCACCCAGCTCCCCTCCACCACTCACCGAAGTCTCCACGCTCTGGCTGCCCCAAAACACACGTGCAAATGGATCAGATGTGCCAGAGATGTCTCGGGGGGCCAGGTCCCTGGGGACAGATGAGGAAAAGAGCGGAGCGGGAGACACATGACCTTCAAGGACCAAGACCCAAGCTGGGCCTTGGAAAATGGGTTCAGGGTGGACCATTCAAATGCTGCTGGTTTCCAAGGCAATGAACTGCTCCAATGTAGGGACCCAGCAGGGAGCACCCCTCACCATACCTGCCCAAACCCCGTATCTTCCTGTTGACTAACGCTACCCTAGGAGGAGGTGCTAGTATGACCCTGTTTTCCAGATGAGAAAACTGAGCCACAGAAAGGTCAAGCCCAGCAGGCAAAGGTGCAACGGGAGGAGGAAGGGGGCCTCAGTTTACCTGGAGCCCCTGGATGGGAGACCAGATGCCAGGGTTCAAAGCCTGGCTCTGCCATTCGCTGGGTGATTCTGGGAAAAGACACTTCACCTCCCTAGGCCTCACTTTCCTCACCTGGAAAATGGGAATAATCAAGGACCAACCTCACAGGGCCAAGGTTAAATGAGACGATGTGCGTAAAAAGCTTAGCATAGCAGCTGGCAGGTGGTGAGGGCTGAGCTCAGTCATTCCTTCAACAAACACTCATGCCCACACTCTGCCTAGGACCCAAGGAAAGGCATAAGGCAGAGACCTCTGGCCTCTAGTTGCCATGACAACCCAAAAGTCTCGCCCCAGTCAGCCTCCCCCATCCCTCCTTCCTGAGGTACCCCAAGTCCAGGGACACCCCCCACCAGGGGCTGCTTGCTTCCTCCTGCTGTTCCTCTCCCACCCTTACTAGGCATCCAAAGCCTTTGGTTTCCTAGGAGCCAGCCCAGTTGCTAAGCGACAGCAATTGGTCCCTTTCCTGTTGCAAGGATTCTGCATAGGCTTGTGGCTGGGGAGGAGGCCCTGGGCACAAAGCAGATGAGGAGCCCATGCCCCAAGTTGAGTCCTTTAGCCTGTCCCCTTCCCCCCTGGTATTCTTTGTCCAGACTCCAGGGAGCCCTAGCTGGGGGCAGAAATCTGGAGGTGGTGGGAGAGACACAGAGAGGGCAAGGAAGAACCTTAAAGTCACACAGCAAGCTAGAAATGGAGATCTCCTCCAACCTGGGAGAGGACTGGCTTAAAAGTGAAGGTTGAGGAGTAAGGTATGGAAAAAAAAAAAGGCAGAAAGGGGGAAGATGGATATCTCATAAGCTGGTGCCTCTGGAGGGTCATCTGTGGTCCTGCATCTGTCTTCCTTCTGTCATGGTTCTTTGGGACAGACCATCCCTTCCCTCACTCCCAGCCCACATGACGTAGGTGGGCCAATCCCTCCCTCCACTCCAGGAATGGGCTCGCGACTCAAGTCTGACCAATCAGAGTCGATGTAATTGGTTCAGAGACAAGCATGTGCCCCAGGCTGAGCCAATAAGAATTAGTCCCAGGACACTGGTTAGAAATGGTCAGAGGTAAAAGTCCCTTTTCAGTTGGAGCCGCCAAGTTATTAGGATGGCAGCTGGGGCTGCTGGGGCCATCTTTGTCTCCACCTGGTGAGGGACTGTTTGAGAATGACAGCTGAGGAATCTGTGTCTACAGATTCCAGATGTCACCATTGGAGCACCTGGATCCAGCCATACCTGAAGCTACATGTCATTCATAGGAGCCAATCTGTTTAAGCCAGTATGACCTGGGTATCTACCACTTACAATTTGATTACTATACCTCCACACATCGGTCTGGCTATTCTGAGTATGTAGCCTTTGGTTGCTGGTCACTGGAGGCCCAACAAGGATTCTACTTGTGCCTGAAACCCAGGAATTTACAATCCAGTGAGCTCGAACTGTTTGCTCACATGGAATCCTGATTGTGAGTCCCTAAGTGCCCCAAATGCCAAGGCAGCTGGGGGACCCCAAGGGATTCCTGCTCATTCTCAGGCCACCCCCTACACCCACCATCAGGACCATACCTGGCCTTGAGCACATGACAGTGAAGACAGCGGCCATGCACATCCTCCAGCATCTGCACAGCCAGGCAGATCTCACCCTGCACCTCCGCATCTGGATCCACTCGGCTCAGGTTGATCCAGCTATCAATTCCTGGGAGACACGGGCACTAACATTTATTAAGCACCTACCGCGACCCCGGCGTTAACTTAAAAATTCAATTAACGTTAATAATGTGTTAAGTCGTGGACTTCTCATGGACATCGGAAGGTGCAGTCATTATCCCCACCTCCAGATGAGGAAAATGAGTCCAGCGAGGGAAGAGCTTTGCCCGTGATCCCACGGCTAGTCAACGGCAGAGCTGGGAGTTGAAGGCAGACTGCCCTTAAGCATGCACCATCACCTTCTTCACCCTGGTATACGAAGCCGTCCTTCATTTAGTCTAACATACTCTTCCCTCAGAAAGATCATGGGCATTCCTACCTCTGAGCTGTTGTCTGGGCCATTCTCCCTGCCTGAATCGATCACGGTCAAGTCCATCACAGTCTCAGAGTCTCTCTGTCTCTCTCTGTCTCTCTCTCTCTTTCTCTCTCTCTTTCTCTCTCTCTTTCTCTCTCTCTTTCTCTCTCTCTTTCTCTCTCTCTCTCTCTCTCTCTCTTATGAGAGTTTATTGCTAGTAAACACTCTTGGTTTCTGTTTATCTTAAACTCCATTTGTTTTGGGCTTGCTACTGAATAATAGTGTTATACAACCCCGCCCCCCGCCCATTTCTCTCAGCACTTTGAAGGTATTGTTCCACTGACTTCCAGCTTCCACTGTAGTTATTGGGAAGTCATCTCAGCCTAATAATTGTTCTGTCTTTTCTCTCTAATTGTGAAGACTATGCTTTTGATGTTCTTTGGTTTCACACACAATGTGTCGAGATAAGAATGTTTTTTTATCCTGCTTCGTACAAGTTGTGCTTCTACTTATAAAATCATGTTCTTCCTTGAGTTCTAGAAAATTCCAGATCATCTTTTTTTTTTTTTAATCATTTCCTCTCTCCTATGTTTTGTTTGTTGTTCGTTTATTTGTTTGTTTGCTTGGGGGGTGGTTGGAATAAGAAAAGGTTTTATTATTGAAATGGCACCGTAACCCCCAGTGTTTATTATTTTGTCATCCCAATTTTTTTCCTACCCTCTCCTTCTAGGACTCCAATTAAATGAGTGTTAGACCTTCTCAGTTATTTTCTGTCTCTGAACTTCTCTTTTATGTTTTCTTTCCTCTTTCTCTGGGCTAAAGTCTAAATAACTTTTTTAGCCCAGATTCCAATTCACTAATTCTCACTTTTGCTCTGACTGATCTATTGATCACTACTTAGTTTTTAATTTCAACAACTGTATTTTTTAACCTTTAAAATTTTGGTTTAGCTTTTTTTCGAGTCTATTTTTTAAAATTTATTGCTTTAATTTATTGTGGTTATTGATAGCCCTTTCTGGTGATTACATTTTTTATTTACTTAATTAAAAAAATTCTGTATACGATAATTACAGAATCCAAAGTCTTCGTAGGTCTAAATCTGAGGGTTATTGTTTCTGCCGACTCTTGCTCACGGTGGCCCTCTTACTTGGGTGTGTGGTCATCTTTGATTGTAAAGTCATGTTTATTTGATCTCCCCATATGGGAAACCTAACATGAGGATGCTTATCCCCGGAGTGAAGTAATGCTTGCTTATTCTGGGCCTCTTTGAGGGTCTCTCTCAGTCTAATGGAGAAGTCTCAGAGTCAATACCATCTGCCTTGGCCCTAGCCCAAGATCTAGCCTGCACATTGTAGATCTGACATTGACATTTACTTTCGGAGCCATCTCTACTCCCTTGCTGTTGCTCACTATTCCCCACTCCCTGTTAAGTTTTGCTCATGACTGGGGGATGGGAGGAGAATACTGGGACTTTTCCTTCTTTACGGCAATTCTAATGATGTATTAGGAATCCCATTTAATTCAGGATCTCACTGTTACGTGGCAGGAGGGCCCTTCTGAGGATCTAGTCCCCCACATTGCTGGAAGTGGAAGTTCCATTTCACCCCCTCTATCTCCACTGCTACCCCCAAGTCCAGGAGGCTGTCAGCTTTCTCTCACTTGATTGTTGCACAGAATCCAAACTGATCCCCCAGATCTACTCCTATCCCTCTGCGATCTGGAACCCACAAAGCAGTACAGAGATCTTCTGAAGACGTATCTAATCTTTCCTATCACTCCATTTTCCAATAATATAGCTCCAGTATCTTCACCATCTTGCTCAAGGACCATCAATGGCTCCCCAGTACCTCCAGAAGAAAGTCCAGATTCTGGTCTGGCACCTAGGGCCCTCTCCGATCAACTCCCACCAAGTATTCATCTGCCCTGGCCCTACACCCAAAGAAAATCCATAGAGACGCGCCTTAGTATTTTTGTGAAAGCACCTTTAAGGACTAATTCATTCCCCTTCCTACAGGAAGCCTTCCTTGACCACACTAGCCCTCACTGCCCACTTTTCCTCATCTACCATACCAGTCGTGTTGCACATACCTCCACCCTCACATTTGTCTTGTTTAAAAACAAACACTGAAATAATTTCCCACTAAGGGCTTTTGCTTCCCTGTGTCACTTGCTACGCCCTTGTAAATGTCCTCTCTGGTCATGGCCATCCCCTCCTCCCTCTGCCCAGCTGGAGGCCAGTGCCCCTCGCCCACCTCGTGGGTCAGCTGCAATCGCCTCCCTGCTCAGCGAGATCTTGCCGATGACGTCATCGTGTCTGTGGAAAGGTGGACAGGTGAGGGTCCAAGTTAGGGAGTCGAGGGGCAGGTGTCAAGGGCTGGGTAGGTGGGTGAGTACTTTGCTTCAGGGTGTCCGCCTCCCCTTGGGTGCCCAGGCGTGGGTCCCCAGCACACGTACCCCACTGTGTCCTCATCCAGCACATAGAAGGCCAGGTGGTGGAAATCCAGGGGCAGGTGCACGGTGTACTCCTCTCCCCAGAAGGGGCTCAGGCTCCGCCAGATGGTTGCTGTCCTGCAAAGGGGGGCATAGGGGGCTAGGGGACCTTGGGCCACATAAGTGGCAGACACCTGGAGACACGGATATGTAAATGCACACACACACTCCCACTCACTGAAACAGAGACACTCACAGATGCACCGAGGAAGTCAGAGACACACAGAGATACATTCGCACATACTCAGATACACATGAAGCCTCAGAAGTCTCTGTGTTTCTACATACCAACGCATGTAGATACACAGAAAAAAACAGACATATTCACACAGACGTACATTTAAAAAATGCCGAGACCCACATGGACATAAGTGGCAGACACCTGGAGACACGGATATGTAAATGCACACACACACTCCCACTCACTGAAACAGAGACACTCACAGATGCACCGAGGAAGCCAGAGACACACAGAGATACATTCGCACATACTCAGATACACATGAAGCCTCAGAAGTCTCTGTGTTTCTACATACCAACACATGTAGTTACACAGAAAAAAACAGACATATTCACACAGACGTACATTTAAAAAATGCCGAGACACACATGGAGACCCACAGACACACGCTCACATGCATCTGGTTATACACGGCAGACAGACACACAGAATCACACAAACACACAGGAACTGAAAACACGCACAATTCCATTCATTCATTCACTCACCCCCAACTGTTTGCCAAGACTTGCAGGTTACAAAGAATCAGAGGAAGAGGTGCCC